GCCGTTTGTCTTTGTCTTTTGTAGTGTGAAGTACTGAGTAAACGCGTGTTCCTTATGTCGTTGTCCGAGTAGTGATGTATCGAGCTGAGTACTTTAGTGTAGATATCTCCCTTCCAGCAGTGCTGAGGGTAGGCAATTAAAGCAGCGCAAGATCAAAGCTTTGGTATTTGAGGAATTCTACAGCACAAAGATAGTTTGCTGGTGCAAAATTTTGGCAATGATTCCCTGCCACAGGATAAAGATGTGCCCAAGCTCTATCAGCTTGAAGAGCTGTGTCCTAGATTCCTTGTTAGTTAGTTAATTAATTAATTAATTAAATTATACCCCACCATCCCTGGAAGGCAAGCTCAGCGATTTTGTAGCTCCCAAGAACCCAAGGTGGCATATTGGGCAGCAGGAGAAAACCACATCCACCCAACCTGAGCAGTAGCTAGCCAGAAGAATTAAGAAGGTTTAATCTAGTCAGGTTAAATTTTATCTTGAGCCAGAGACATATTGCTCGATGCCAACTGCAGTCTGCCAGTGATGCCTGCCCCAATTTTATTCTAAGAATTCCGTTTGATGTGCAACAAGGAACACCAAATATGCTTCTGAGGAATTTAGATTGGACTGCTTCCAAGGTACGGAAATCTTTGTATGGGCACAGTTTTGAACCATTCAGGAGCTGAGGTATCACTTTACCTTGGAAAATTCTGATGACGTAGGGAATATATGAGCCCCCTTTCAAGTAGAAAAACACCTGAGATTTTTGTTAGTCTGACTGCAGTCAAATGCCTTTGATCATAATATATTTCCAGATTGTTTCCCGTGATTCCCGTGTTTAAGGGAACTTTTATAACTTTGTAAATAACCGAATAAACTTTTGTTAATATTATTTTTGATTACCCTTGCCTAATAAGGATCTTCTCAACTTTAGTGAATGGTCTCAACACATCAGACGTTCTTAATATAGATGGAATGCCATGCTGTAGTAGGAGGTATTAAAACAAAGGGATTCTTTCTGCTGCATTTTTCCTTGTTAGATCCTCAAAAGACATAAATTTACCCCTTTCTTGAACATCTATAAACCTCAAAAGATCAACTTAAAATCACCAATCAAAATTCATTGCCAGTTTGGTGCAGTGTTCCCTCTAAGCTGAGTGAGTGTGAGCCAGCTCACAATTTTTTAGCCCCCGGCTCACGCATTTTTGTCTTAGCTCAGGAAGGACGGCTCTAGAGCAAGCTAATTCGTGCAGTAGCGGAATCGCTTGTTCACAACTTTGATGCCAGCAGCTCACAAAGTAGCATTTTTGCTCACAAGACTCCACAGCTTAGAGGGAGCATTGGTTTGGTGTAGTGGTTAAGTGCACGGACTCTAATCTGGGAGAACTGGGTTTGATTCCCCACTCCTCCACTAGCACCTGCTGGATGACCTTGGGCAAGCCATAGTTCTGTCAGAGCTGTCCTTGAAAAAGAGCAGTTTGTGTCAGAGTTCTCTCAGCCCCACCCACCTCACAGGGTGTCTGTTGTGGGGAGGGGAAGGGAAAGGACTTTGTAAGCCGCTCTGAGACACCTTCAGGTAGTGAAGGGCGGGGTATAAATCTGATCTCTTCTCCTTCATATCAGTGGCACCTATCACCCCATAAACTGTCAAAAATTTACCAAAAGGGTTAATGGGGATTGTTGGGTATGTGTAGCTACCAGTGCCAATTGTGTACATATTTGGTGACAATGTAGGACAGCGGTAGAATTTTGGAATACAATCACTACAGTTATCTCTAAAGGTATAAGGAAAGAGTCAACTGGACTTTTATCTTGGAGGCATTGAGAGAGGCAGAGGCTGGAGAAAACTTTGTAACAATGATACAAGCAATATATACAAAGCAAAATGCAGCAGTAATGGTCAATGGAGAAATTAAAAAAAATGAAATACAAAAAGGAACAAGACAGGGTTGCCCCCTCTCACCACTATTGTTTATCTTTGCATTAGAGATTCTGAATGACGAAATTAGAAGAGAAACTAAGATTAAAAGATTTACAATAAAAAAGAAGAATACAAACTGTTGGCTTTTGCAGATTATTTAGTATTTATACTTGAGAATCCCGACACTTCGGCTGTTACGTTAAAGGAGAAAATACAAGTCAAAAGCTCTTTAAGGAGTTGGATCAAATGATTTCCAAGTTTATATGGCAGGGAAAACGACCAAGAATAAGACTGAAGGCTTTACAAGATATTAAAGAAAGAGGAGGCTTAAGCCTTCTAAATTGGTTATTATACTACAGATCAGCAGCGCTCGTTTGGATAAAAGAATGGATTACGCTAGAGGACAAGAGAACACTGGAACTTGAAGGACATGATCTATTACTAGGGTGGCATGCTTTCCTATGGTATGAAAAAGCTTGAACACAGAAATATTTTAAGCAACGTTGTCTACGAGCAGCACTTTTGAGAGTTTGGGATTCTATCTTTAAAAGATTTTATAGCAAAAACTCTAGACTTATTGCACCGCTTGAGGCTTTTACTTTATCGAATATATATGAGGGGGAAGAATGAATAAGATACTAGGATATTCTGGACAACAAAAACTTAATGAATATACCAGAAGGTCTATCATGGTGGCCCAAAATGCAACTGAAATCCAGGTACAATAAAGATAAAAAATTAGGCTTTTATGAAGACTTAACAGACATGGAATTTTTTTTTACCTCGGTGGACTCTAAGTTGATTCAAAGAACTTATGTCCCTTTTACTTAATGATATGATGTATGATGACACTGTTAAACCAAATATTATCTTATGGGCACAGAATGTAAACCATAATATTAGAACAATGGGAACAAAAATGGAAAGAAAATATTAAGATAACGAAAGCTATTGCATTTAAAGAGAATATGTATAAGATGTTTTACAGATGGTATATATGTGTTCTAACAAGATAGAATGTATAAGATGTTTTACAGATGTATAAGATGTTTTACAGCCAGTTTGGTGTAGTGGTTAAGTGTGCGGACTCTAATCTGGGATTCCCCACTCCTCCACATGCACCTGCTGATGTGACCTTGGGTCAGTCACAAGCTCTGGCACAGCTGTCCTTGAAAAAGAGCAGTTTGTGTCAGAGTTCTCTCAGCCCCACCCACCTCACAGGGTGTCTGTTGTGGGGCGGGGAAGGGAAAGGAGTTTGTAAGCCGCTCTGAGACTCCAAGTGAAGGGCGGGGTATAAATCCAATCTCTTCTTCTTCTTCTTCTATAAGTGTTCTATCAAATGTTGGAAGTGTATCTAGTACAGTATCCTTTTATCATATGTGGTGGCATTGTGATATAACTAAGAGATACTGGAGATGGATTCATGCAATAATGCAGAAGATAGTGGGATGTACAATTCCATTTACACCCGAAGTAATGCTTCTGAGTATACTATCTAAAGACTTTGAAAAAAGCAACAGATATTTAATTATCTATTTTACTGCAGCGGCAAGAATGTTATATGCCAAATACTGGAAGGCACAAAGTGTACCAAAAAAAGCAAGAATATATACAAAAACTGATGGAAACAGCGGAAAGTGATAAATTGACTTTGTTGATAAGAGGATCCACAAACTACACATTTTAGAACACATGGAGGCACTTTTATATTTGGTATAATAGTGCAAACGATTGTAACCTAAAAAAGTAATCCCTAAAGCAAAGTAGAGGTTAGATCATTGAGATAGCCGGTACAGATGTTGGTTTTAAGATACAAAAATGTGAGCTCATAGAAAATAATGTTATGTGATATTATATTAGATAGAGAATATCTAAGAGGCAATTATTGGAAACATAAGCATTTGATAACCCCGTTTGTGTTATATGTGTGTATGTTCGGTTTGTCTGTTATGAAAAAAAACAAATAAAATTCTACCCTTTGAGGGTAGACTGAAAAAGAAAAAGAGTTACTATTACCCTAAGGTTTTTTTGTTGTTGAAGCATGTGGATTTCCTGTCTAAAGATGTTCATGAATATGTTCTTAATGCCGTAACATATGTAAGGCTAATATTTGCTCAAAATTGGAAGAATATGATCCTGAAGAAGGAGGGTTGATTAGAGAATTTAGTAAAGCATATTCATTTATGGAAACTAACCTGTTGATTACATAGCCACGTGTTCAATAAATTTGGAAAATTGAATGTTCTCCTGTCCAGAATGAGAAGTTAATTTCAAATTTTTAGTTTGTATAATTGATGCTTAGATTAGAACATCTTTGTAATCTGCATTTTAGATTTTGGGTTGTATTGGATTTATTCTTCTATTTTTATTGAATAAATTTTTAAAATTTAAAAATTGCTGCTGATTGGTCTCTCTTACAATTCTTGAGCATCCATCCAAGGCTTCACTGGAGAGTACATAAGACATTGATCTCAATATTCAACTGGTGCATCCCTAATTGAGTTTTCAAAAGTAGCGGCCTTTTGTTTTTTGTTCTAACAATTCTATCTGTTCAACAAGATCAATATTCCTTTCTGCTTTTAATTCCCAAATAATGTCACCACCTTCCCAAAGGCAGTATGCCAACGTGACCAATGGTGCAGACCTGTAGTTTCTAACAATTGCGCAGTGTAGTGGTTAGGGTGCTGGACTACAGTCTGAGAGACTCTGGTTGAAATCCCCCCTCTGCCATGGAAGCTTTCTGGGTGACCTTGGGCCAGTCACCCATTCTCAGCCTGACTTCCCTTGCAGAGGAAGAGAGGAGAATGATGTCAGCCACTATGGGCCCCCAATGGGGAGAAAGGCAGGACATAATCAACAAGTAAACAAATAAACAATATCAGGAGTTGCTAAACCTTCTTTTCAGAGGATTTTTATTTTTCATGAGTGGCAGTTCCTCATTCATTTTGGCATGCTATTGAGTCCTGCTCAGTGAAGATAATTCCTCCCCCCCCCAAAAAACCCCCCACAACTCTACTCATGAGGTAAAATCAGGAAAGCAGGCTCCAAGGCAGTGTGTGAAATTTTAAAAAAATTGAGGCTGTTTTTTGTATTTCAGGGACAGAGAACGAGCCATGGCAGCCGGGAGTCTCATCAAGGAGTTCTGTGAGGAAACAACTTGTTCCGTCTGCCTGGACTACTTCAGAGAGCCAGTGACCATTGAGTGTGGGCACAATTTCTGCCAAGCCTGCCTCACTCAGTGCTGGGCAAAGTCTGACACAGGTGCTTCCTGCCCTCTGTGCGGAGAAGTTCTCCAGCAGAAGAACTTCAAACCAAACCGGCAGCTGGCGAACCTTGTGGAACTTGTCAAGAAACTTCAGATGGGAAAGGGAGTGGAGGGGGAGCAAGGAAGGTGCGAGAGGCACCAGGAACCCCTGAAGCTCATCTGCTTCGATGACCAAACCACCATCTGCGTGGTATGTGGCCGATCCATGGCGCATCGAAACCACAGAGTGCTTCCTATGGAAGAGGCTTTCCTCGAGTTTAAGGTAAGAAAACATTACACTGGATTGGGGTATCTGGATCCATAAATGACGATGCAGGATGTTCTGTCAAGCTTTAGACCAATTAGGTTTGGGGAGGAATGGATGGAATTATTATTTATGTTTGTTATTTATAATCCACCTTTCTCACTGGGACCTAAGGCGATTACACAAGGTAGTGGCCTCCTCTCCTATCTTAATATTACTTGGCTGTCCTCAACTCCAAGTCATCCCAATCCAGTATGCTTTGCAAACCGAGCCTGTGACAGGGCTACAGGGGTGAAGGAGTAAAACTGCATAAGTGCTCTCACAAGCATGCATGCGGATGCTCCATGCTTAGGCACAAGGGAATTCTCCCCCACCTTTCTTTTTTTCCACCTAAGCCCACTCATTAAAATCTATCTCCATGCCTGAGGACTGGAAGGTAGCTAATGTCACCCCCATCTTTAAAAAGGTCTGACCTCAATACCGGGTAAGTTGGTGGAAACCGTTATAAAGGAGAGACTTGGCAGGCACATTGATGGACAAAAACTATCAAGGAAGACTGAGCATGGGTTCTGTAAGGGAAAATCTTGTCTCACTAACCTGTTAGTGTTCTTTGAGGGGGTGAAGAAATATGTGGGCAAGGGGGATCCAATAGATGTTGTTTACCTTGACTTCCAGAAAGCTTTTGATCGTTCTTCATCAAAGGCTCCTAAGTAAGCTCAATAGTCACAGGATAAAAGGACAAGTCCTCTTGTGGATCAAAAAACTGGCTAATTAATAGGAAACAGAGAGTTAGTACAAATGGGCAGTTTTCACAGTGGAGGGTGGTAAGCAGTGGGGTACTGCAGGGCTCAGTACTGGGTCCGCTGCTTTTTAATTGGTTCATTAATGATTTGGAGTTGGGAGTAAGTAGTGAAGTGGCTAAATTTGCAGATGACACTGAATTGTTTAGGGTGGTGAGAACCAGGGAGGATTGTGAGGCACTCCAAAGGGATCTGCCGAGGATGGGGGGGGGGTTGTCGTCAACGTAGCAAATGGGGTTCAATGTGGCCAAGTGCAAAGTAATGCACATTGGAGCCAAAAATCCTAAATATAAATACACGTTGATGGGGTCCAAACTGTCAGAGACTGACCAAGAGAGAGGTCTTGGAGTTGTGGTAGACAACTCACTGAAAATGTCGAGACAATAGGCAACTGCAAAGGCCAACACTATGCTAGGAATTATTAGGAAGGGAATTGAGAACAAATCAGCCAGTATCATAATGCCCTTGTATAAATCAATGGTGCGACCTCATTTGGAGTACTGTGTACAATTCTGGTTACCACACCTCAAAAAGGATATTTATAGCATTGGAAAAAGTACAGAAAAGGACAACTAGAATGATAAAAGTGTTGGAATACTTTCCCTATTAAGAAAGGTTAAAGTGCCTGGGGTTGTTTAGCTTGAAGAAATGACGAATGAGGGGTAACATGATAGAGGTTTACAAGATTATGCATGGGATAGAGCAGGCAGAGAAAGAAGTACTTTTCTTCCTTTCTCACAATTCAAGAACTTGTGGGCACTCAATAAAATTGCTGAGCAGTCAGGTTAGAACGGATAAAAGGAAGTACTTCTTCACCCAAAGAGTGATTAACACTTGGAATTCACTGCCACGGGAGGTGGCGGTGGCTACAAGCATGGACGGCTTCAAGAGGGAATTGGATAAACATATGGAGCAGAGGTCCATCGGTGGCTGTTAGCCACAAGGTATGGATAGGGACTCTCAAGCTGGGGCAAGTGATGCTCTGTATTCTTGGTGCTTTGGGGGGGGGGGGCAACAGTGGGAGGGCTTCTAGTGTTCTGGCCCTACTGGTGGACCTTTTGATGACACCTGGTATTTTTGGCCTGGATGGGCCACTGGCCTGATCCAACATTGGCTTCTCTTATGTTCTTATGACCTTCAGCAAGCCACAGTTCTCTAAGAGCTGTTCTCTCAAGAGCAGTTCTCAAAGAGCTCTCTCAGCCCTACCTACCTCACAGAGTGTCTGTTGTGGGGAGGGGATGGGAAGGAGATTATAAGCTGGCACTGAGACTCTAAGTGAAGTGTGGGGTATAAATCCAATCTCTTCTCCTCCTCCTCTCTGTTGAGGCTCCCTGGGTGATTTGGAGCCAATCACATTCTTTCAGTCTAACCTACCTCACAGGGTTGGTGTGAGGGGAAAAAAGAGAACACAAGAATAACGTGAAGAAAGGTGGAGTATAAATGATGTAAATAAATAAATAGTAGTAAATACTAAATAAATAATAAAGTTGAAGACATAGAGTTTTCCCTCGGATGACCTTGGCCCTGCCCCCAGTGTGCCCGGTGTGGTCACTTCCTGGTGACGTGCACGTTGGGGTGGAGTTCCCCCTGGGGCCCGATGACTTGGGAAGCCTAACTATGCTTGATGGCTTGCTACTGTTCTCAACAGCATCTATGATAGCCAGTGTGGTGCAGCAGTTAGAGCTTCAGAGGAGGCCCTGGGAGACCCAGTTTCAAACCCCGTTTTGCTTAGGATCCTCCCTGGGTGATTTCAGACCAGTTCTGTACTTTCAGCCTAGCCTACCTCACAGGGTTGTTGTGAAGACAAAAAGGATACATTGCTTAGAGGATACGGGGGTTACCAGGTGTTTGCCGGATTGCTTTATTTACAGCAATTGGCAATTTATAAATGGGTTCTTGCCAATTTATACCAAGGTCCTGATCCCACCAAGGGTTACCAGTAAAGGATTACGAGGCTGTTGTAATTAAAATAGATGTCTTTTACTAGAAATAGGTTTCATACAAACAATACTGATGCGCTCACACATTCAATCAAGTTCCTAAGAATTACAGTATGAAATAAGCATTAGCAGGTAGGGGTGACGAAGGGCGATACTTATCTGTCTTGAAGCTTGGTTGTTCCAATGAAGAATGGATGGGAAGAAATAGAATACAAAGGAATCCACACTACCAGAACCAGCCGGAACGTGTGGGTCTCTTGACTGCAGATCAAGAGATCAATAGTAGAGGCAAGGGTTGGGGATAGCAAGGGGGACTTAAGGGGGTAAAAGCAGACAGGGGTTGTTGCGGGGGAAGATGCTATCTAGCCAGGTAGGAGGGGCCAGGTGACTGGTTCTCTCCTTTTATAGGGGGTCCAAGAGATCCAACCTCTTGACCCATCTACCTGTTAGTCCGTCCCCAAAACAATCCTATTGGTTGCAGGTAGGGTTGCAGGTAGGGTTACGTAGGAGGGATGGCCAATATTGTAACCTAAAACCTTACTCGAAGTATTGGCATCTGGACCGGTGTGAAATCCAGGCGTCAGGATGCTTCATTGTTGTGCTGATGATGTTGGCCAGTTCCACTGATAACCAAATGTCCATCTGGTAGGAAATGCCAGCTCAGGAACAAAGCAGACGATGGGTGATACGTGACCAGCAAGCATCTTTGCTATGGTGGTTGTTTCTTCCCAAAGTTGTTTCATTGCCAACAGTAATGGAGATTTGTGCTTCTTCACTAGGCTGTACAACTGTGTTGCTGAAACCTTATTTACATGTAAGGTATGTGCAGGCACCCTCTATGTGTGTCATCACAACAGGTGACCTAAAGTGTACAGTTCTCTAAGCCTATGTGTGTGTGCACAGTCCATTGTGTATCAATAAATAGTCCATAAAACAAATATCAGGCTTTATTCTCTAACGAAAGAGGAAATAATATGGGGAGGACAATACAGGGGAAAGTGATGTGCCACTCCAAGTCCTTGAGAGTTGTTCCTTCCTATGCAAGTGTGCCTGGCTTAGGGCCAGCACCCCACAACTGGGCTGCAGTTTTCCTAGGTAGAGGCTGTCGGGGGGGGGAGCTAAAGACAGAAGGGCAGATAAAGGTGAGTTGGCTGTTTTGTGGGAAGGAGATAGGATTCCCAACTCCAGGTTAGGAGATTCCTAGAATGTTGGGAGTGGAGCCTGGGGAGGGTTGGGTTTGAGGACTGGAAGAACCTCAGAAGGCTTGGCTATAATGCCGTAATCTCTACCCACCAAAGTAGCCATTTCCTCCAGGGGACTTAGAGTTGCCAACCTCCAGGTGGGGTGGAGAACACCCACAACTGCAGCTGCTCTCTAGATGCAGCTGCCCCTGGAGGAAATGACTGCTTTGGAGGGTGGACTCTGTGGCATTATACCCTGTTAAGGTCACTTTGCCCTCCCAAGGCTCTACCCCCAATCTCCAGAAAATTTCCAACCTGGAGCTGGCAACCCTAAGGGAAACTGATTTCTGTAGCTGAGAGATTTGTTGTGATTCCAAGAGATCTCCACGTTGGCAACCCTACAAGGAGAGAAACCAGCCGGAAAAGAGGAAGACTGCAGGGGCTTTCAGGAAAGAGGAGAGAGGAAATAGCAGGAGAGCGGGAAATGAGATGCTTCCCCTGAGTCCTTACGGGTTTCCACTTGTTACTTTCTAAGGAAGCCCTTAATAGTTGTTGTTGGGGAGAGGCTGAACTCCCCCAGATCACTGGCTTTTCCTGTTTCTGCAGAAAGAGATCCAGGCTGAGCTGCAGTCTCTGGAGCAAGAGAAGGGAACACTTCAGGAACAGAAAGTGGCTGATGATCAGAGAAGCCAAACATTTTTGGTAGGTATAAAATCACCCGTGTTGTGGTTGGGCATTGACTGGGAAAGTCCTTGAGTCTTCAGGCCATGAGGCATTGGAGATCTTGGCCATAAGCATCCATTGCTGTCTTGATTCTGTTAGAAGATGGTGCATGCGTGCAGAGTGATCCCTTTATACCTGCTGCACTGAGCAGTGACAAATACAAGTGAATGCTGTTTATTATTTAGTCACAAGGGTTTCTCAGTAGTTTTACCCCCAAAACATACAGGAGATGTAATCTGTAAAATATTAATGAATAAAGCTGCTTAAATCTGTAAATGGCTACCAAGAAAGCAAGGCAGTTTACTCTGGTTTTTGCTTTGTAATAGGGAACAGGACGGCCAAACCAATACACCATATATGTCTGTTCTATGCAACTGCCAAGGTGCATTTATCATTTAAAAAAACCCATAATTGTCTTTCATAATGGAGATATCCTATATCTTATCCAACTGGCGAATAAGTAGATGTTGTGTAGGTCCTGCCCCTTTCTGAAAAACACTGGGTCCCCCTTTAATCCTGTTTGCTGTGTGAGCAGAGCTAGCAGCCAGCTGAGATCCACAGGAAGGGCTGGAGGAGTTGGATATTTGGGGGGTGGGGGAGAAAGAGAAGGAAAGAAGGACCCAGTTTTAGTGAGGTAGGGTTTGTATCTCAGGAGTGTGAGGAGGAGACTTGAGAGGTCTCAGAGTCTGCCTTTTGAGTGAGAACAAGCAAAAATAGTAAAGGGGTGGAGAGGAATTTGCCTCCGGGGGTGGGGGCCGAAAGAAATCCTTTGCTAGGAGACTGGGGTGTCTTGGGATCTAGTTTCTGGGGAATAATGTGGCTGTTAAACTGCTCTCTGCATGTCTAAAGTATCATGAATGGGCCCAGCAGCACTGTGTTGCACTTGTAAATAATTTATCCTTTTTTCTGAACCCCCTTATTCCCTTAGAATGAATAAAATTTACTGTTCTTTTCCAGTTTCCCTCATGAGTGCTGAACTTGCTACATTCAGAAGCCATTTAGGTTAAGTTTGTAAGGTGCGGGTCTGAGGCCACACCAGTCAAGCCTCTCATCACTCTGCCTCTGTTTCAACCTCAGTTAAGACCCCAGCCTTCATAGATGGACTACTAAGAATCCTGTCTTTAGTGCCGAAAAGTCACCTGCTTGATTCTCTGTCATATTATGACTCCAATCTCGAGGCTGCACCTGGTTTGCCTTCCTGAGACAACTTGCCCCTTTCCGAATTTCTGTGTGTTTCCTGCAGACACAGTTAGAATTAGAGAAAAAGAAGAACAAGTCAGCCTTTCAGCAGTTGCACACTTACCTTGAGAAGGAAGAGCGCCTCAGGCTATCTGTGCTGGAAGAGATGGAGGAAATTTCCCAACCTGGAGCTGGCAGACCTAAGGCAACGGGAAGAGACTGAAGGGAGGCGCAACATTATGCCACATCTCCTCACATTCGCCAAAAAAAAAAAAAAGACAACTCATGAATGGGCCCAGCAGCACTGTGTTGCACTTGTAAATAATTTATCCTTTTTTCTGAACCCCCTTATTCCCTTAGAATGAATAAAATTTACTGTTCTTTTCCAGTTTCCCTCATGAGTGCTGAACTTGCTACATTCAGAAGCCATTTAGGTTAAGTTTGTAAGGTGCGGGTCTGAGGCCACACCAGTCAAGCCTCTCATCACTCTGCCTCTGTTTCAACCTCAGTTAAGACCCCAGCCTTCATAGATGGACTACTAAGAATCCTGTCTTTAGTGCCGAAAAGTCACCTGCTTGATTCTCTGTCATATTATGACTCCAATCTCGAGGCTGCACCTGGTTTGCCTTCCTGAGACAACTTGCCCCTTTCCGAATTTCTGTGTGTTTCCTGCAGACACAGTTAGAATTAGAGAAAAAGAAGAACAAGTCAGCCTTTCAGCAGTTGCACACTTACCTTGAGAAGGAAGAGCGCCTCAGGCTATCTGTGCTGGAAGAGATGGAGGAAAAGATGGCGAAGAGAGACAAGGAAAACTGTGTGTTAGTCTTGAAGGTGCTCCTGGACGCCGGGCCTTTTCTGCTGCGGCAGACAGACTAGCAGGGCTGCCCATCTTGACCTAGCAGCCAGCAGTGATCAGCCCAGGAGTCAAAAAACACCCAAGGTCATTTGGCCACAAAGACCCTTCCTGCTGTGACGATCCACTTATTGACTACTTTTCACAGACCTTGTCTATCTATCATCGTCATCATGAACTCAGCCCAAAGTCCAGCCAATGTTTCTATCAGGCACTTTCAGGTCCTGCTCCTGACCTGTGGAATTTGCCCTCGGCTCTCCCCTTCTTGGACCATCCCAGTCCTATCCGATTGGCAACTCCCAATACTAAGAATGTCAGTTGGTTCTTGTTTGGGGGGTGGGATGGGGACGGGGACATAACTATTCCACTGTAGAATTCCACTGTAGACTAGCAAGTAACCCAATGAGTTTTCAGTCTGTGTAAATGAGACCCAGTTCTTTCCCTTTTTCTTTCAGGATCCCAAAACTGTACAAAGCAGGTACGTGATTTTTTATCAGTCCCCTTCCTTTCACATCTACTGTGAATAACTTCAATCCCTTTTTAAAAAAAGATATATTTTGACAGAATCATCCCATAAAATGTTTTGAGGTGTCATCAGCACTTTTAAACATTTTCTTCTAGCGGAGAAAGTGTAGGATCCTGAAATAGTTCCTGAGCACCATAGGATGTTTCCCCCACCTTGGGATCTGACATCCTCCAGGTTTTGAGGAGAGAGGAATGGGGTCTTGCACCTCCCTTTGGTCACAGTCCTGTGTTTGGTCTGGACAGTGCAAGCACTGTTCCTGGTGGAGAAGGTGACGGAAGGGGTGAGCCAATACTGAGCCTAGCCAATGGACAAGCAGCCATTTTGGACTAGCAGTGACTTTCCTGGTTCTCAGGTGGGGGCTTTTCCCAGCCCCTCCCGTCTGAGATGCTTTTAAAACGGAATGTGACAGGGGTTAAGTGTGAGACGTGGGTCAATAAATAAACACACATTACAGGCTCAGCTGCTGCATGGTGTCCGGGCTGACCTGCTTTGGCCTGAGAATTTTGCTCCCCTGCCTCATCCTGAGACCCTGGGACAAGATTCTGTCTGGGAAACGCCACTGGGTTCAAACTGGGTTGAGTTCAGAAGACTCTACAGCAGCACACACCATAAAGGAAAAGAAAGCTTTCTTAACAAAAATTAAGAAGAGGTTTTAAAAGCAATATGTAGTTCCAATTCAAGTAGACAGAAAAAAAGAAAGCTAGCTGTCTGCATTCACTTATTCAGTTATGTTGCATAAATGTTCGCTTCTCATAACTAAAAGCAAAGGTGTCCCGAAGCGTATATGATAAGAGAGAAAACAGTGAGGGGGGGGGGGGGGGGGGGGTAAGTGGAAGAAAACAAGAAATAAAAAAACGGAAAATGTACCATCCCATCATAGGCTATACTTCCTAGAAAAAGCAGGTTGTAACCACTTGCCCTTCCCCAACCAATCACAGGGCTGTCTCCAATAGATATTGTAGACATGAGCAGACCACCCCCCCAAAGCAGCTGAAATAGAGGAGCTAATTAATGAGCTTGAGAAACAACCTATGGGGGAGGGGTTTGGTTCCCTTCCTGCCAAACCAGAAAGGGGAAAAAGGTGTTAGGTGTAACTTTCTTCTGAAGATGGGGTCTGTCCCGCTGCTCTTCATGGCTTTTCTGCTTGGCCCTCTTTAGCCTCTCAAGACTATCCAAGGAATTAAATGTGAGGAGGGACTGGGGGGGGGGGGGGGCGAAGCGGCCTGAATCTTTCCCTCTGCTTGAGTCAATTTCAGTCTTATGGCAAAAACTGTCTGGTGGAGGGTTTCCTCCATGCAAGATTGAAATTGACTGGAAGAGCTCCGTCCCTGAAAGGACTGGCTAAGGGGCCTCTTGGTGACTGGCTGTGCTTTTGAATAAAGGCCCATTCAGGCCCCATGCTTGGAAGTGGCACAAGGTTCATCATCTGTTTTCTAGTGCAGCTTCTAAACTCCAAAATGGGACTCCTTGCCCCTTTCAGAGCTGCGAATGTGCTAGATTCCTGCCCATTGCATCACATGCTCTGACGGCTGGCGCCCCCTTCCCTGAGTTCCCTTTTTGCTGCCATGAGGATAAGAAATCTTTCTAGGGCACTCTTGGTTTTTCATCACTTGGTGAAGAGATTAGACTTACTTGCTACTACAGAAAACTGTTCATTTTACAGTCCTGGATTGTCAATTGAGCAGGAGGCAAGCCCCATAACAAACAGGGCTCCTCCTGCTCATTGTGCTTGTGGTCCCTCAACATAGCATCCAACATACTGTAAAAAAATGTTCCAAGTGTGGAACAAAAATGATGCACAGTGATGCACATGAGTGCTGCCTCCTGTGCTTAGGAGAAGCCCATAATGTTGGAGCTTGTAAAATTTCCCAGCGCTTTACCCCAAAGGCTCGATTGGACAGGGCCTTTAGTTGAAAGCTGTGCTGTGGGAGAAGGCTTTGTCCTCCTCAGTTCCTTCCAGAGCCATTCCACCTTCACTATCAACTGCCTTGGGTCTGCTTCCCCTGGCTCCGACTATTGAACCCTGGTTCACCATTGGCCCATTCGGTTCCAGCGGGCTTGACAGCCAAGATGACCCCAATCCCTCCAAAATGAGCCGCTTCCATTGCCCCGGGGGCAGAAGTCAGATGCCTGTGGTTGCCTTCTCTTGGACGATCGACTAAGGTCTGATCTCGTTTGGAACCTCCTGCAAAAAAAACATATATATATATAGAAATTGAAGCATAAGGAGAAAGCTGAGTCCACACCCAAGTCGACATGTGCTACCCAACTGAAAGGTCCAGAATCAGACCGAGACATTATCGTCGTGCCTCCACATACCCTGTCACCTCATTTACTGGTTCCTTTTCTAAGGGAGATGACGATCAGCCGAGTATCCCAGCTGGACAACTGCTGCCATCCGAATTGGGGGCTTCCTCTGCCTTGGCAACCAGCATTCCCTCCTCAGCACTCATACTATATGTCATCTTCTATTTAGGTAGATTGGCAAGACATTATCCTCTGATACTGGAGGGACGTGACCCCAACACAAGGGGGAATATGGAGGCCCGCTCTGCTATGGTTCCATCCCGATCTCCGTATCATGAGCCTGAGGAAGAGGTCTCTGCAGCTTCTCGTTGTAGTTCCAACAGTGCTTCCGATCCATCACCTGATGATACAGTAGGCGATCCGACTCCTGTATCACCTAGTGAAGACCTCCATCTATTTGGAGAACAGATGCAAAGAATGGTGAAGGCCTTAGATATTGACGTTGCCACTTCAGATAACTGTCCTAAGGACAGAATATTGAGTCAACTTTATTCGGATAGTGGATAGTGGCTTTTCCAATTTTAGAGGGTTATCCGACCTCACAGTTCCACTCTGGCAGAAGCCAGCCTCCATCCAGGCCATAAAATAGAGAATTTATATAGAGTTAAAGAAGGATCCTACGAGTTCCTGTCCATGCACCCTCGTTCATCGTCATTGATTACTGAAGACTTAGGAACACGCCAGCAACCTGGGCAACATTCATCGCCTGTGGATAGGCAGAGCCATCATCTAGACACCTTAAAAAGGTAAAGGTTCCCTTGCTCGAAAGCTGCTACACTTAGCAGGAGGAGACTACATACCATCCCCGTTCCCGTCCCCCCCCCTCAGATCTGCTGATGCCCAGTCCATTACTGCATCATGATGTAACTACATTTGACAGCATGGAGGATCCGGCCTTGAGGCACCCCTTCTCCCAAGGTGTTCTAGAAATCCTACTGCAAGCCCATAAACCAGGTACTCTTATGGCGGGAAGTGGACTCGATTTGAGTCCTGGGCCTCTGTTTTAGGGTAATGCCCTTTTACCTGCCAGATACCTTCGGTTTTGGCATACCTGTTATTAGTACAGGCAGGTTTAGCAGTGTCTTCAGTGAAAACTCATCTGGTGGCTATTGGTGCGTTTCATGAGGAAGACAGTTTTCACTCACAGATTGGCTCAGCGCTTCTTAAAGGGTCTGTCAAATGTCCCCCCCCCCATTATTATACAGTGGTCTTTACCATTAGTATGAGCTAGCCTGATGAAACCTCCCTTTGAGCCCTTAGCCTCCTGCTCGTTAGCCTTACTCTGCAGAAAGGTAGCATTTTTAGTGGCTGTTACCTCAGCCAGGAGAGTCAGCTGTGTCTAGATGAGTGGTGGCTGCAAGGCGTTTCGGGAGCCATGTCCTCTTGATATTAAAGCACACTCAACCCAAGCACAAGGGTCATCTGTTGCCTTCTACCGACGAGTTCCCCTCCTGGACATCTGCACGTCTGCAACCTGGTCGAGAGAAGACACGTTTGTGAGAAATTATGCTCTAGATCTTCAGGCAAGGAAAGATGAGGAGGGCAAGGCCATTCTGCGAGCTCTGTCCCAGTGAGAGACTCACCCCTCCTCTGGTAAGTAGTTTGTTAAGTGTGGGGTTGCACTAGAAGACGGAAAATGAAAACTGAGTTGCGCTTGCTTGTAACTCTTGTTCACTGATGTCTTCTGTGCAGACACACATCCCCTCCCTCTTGCTTTGCTGTGAGCTCTCACAAGACCTATTGTGCCATATAAGGGGGCTCGCAGCAGCTTAGCGGGAAGGGGGCACCCGTTATCGGGGGACGTGATGCATTGGTTGGGAATCCTGGCAATGCGTGGCTACAAAAGTAAGGCCACCCCCATTTTGGCGTTTAGAAGCTAGAAAGAAAATGTCTGCAGCAGGCCTGTGCAAGCACAGTCCAAATATGCATCTGTACAAAAGATGCCGATGAACAACAGTTATAGGTAAGTACAAATCTGTTTTCTTTGTGCCTTTTGGAATCCTCCCTATTTTTCTCTCCAGATACGTGAAGGAGCCAGAGAGGCAGCTGCTGGGACCCCCTCTGGAGCTGGAGGAGGCGCTCAGGACTTATGCCCAGAAAACCCCTGCCTTAGAACAGGCTCTGTCCAAATGTCAAGGTACTGTGGGAGGGGTTGACTGTGAATCTGAGGCTGATCAGCTTCTGGGTTTGTTGCTAGTAAAGTGGCCTGTTCCTTCTCAAAGAGGATCTGGCTTTCTCCTTCTGTCTGGTTAAGACAAAATCTGGGAGACTTTTCACAAATCCTTTTTCCTGATCGGAAGTAAACTTCTATTTCGTGACTTCTGTCAATGTGGGTGTCAAGTTCAGGTCTCACTTAGCCTTTGTGGCCTGTGTATTCCTTGCTTCGCCATTGTATCTCTCAGTTATATTTCACCTTCGCTTGTCATTTCCGGGGGGGGGGGGGGAGTGACTGTGGTGTGAATGTTGGGGAGTAGCCGCTGTAATCTTTTTCCCAGGAGAGCCTCATGTGTTTTTCTCACTATGGAAGACCTTGAAGATGTCTACGCTTTGCTTAGGTCACAGGACAACACATCTCTGTCCAGGTTGCCATGGTTATGCAAGGGGGTTAGGGCATGACATGAGGGGGACTGGGCGGATGAAACTTTATTGCCTTTTCCTATATCTAGAGTGTGTCTAGCAATTAGTTTCAGTTCTGACAAAGAGTTCTTGAATCCACTGTTATCATTTCTCAATAAAACGTATATTCATTTATAGCAGGTGCGGAGAGTGTTAACTAGGAACCTGACAGTGGGCTATAAACCTGGATGCTGTTTGTCTATTCAGAATGGCAGTGGCTCTCCAAGGTGATAGGCGGAGGTCTTTCACATCACCTCCTAGACAGTGGTGTGGAATTCACAGAACTTTTTTGAAAGCAGCATGTGCCAGCTGAGTCTCATGAGAGGCAGTCCTATGAGATATCCAGTGCTGTTTTGGGTTGCCACAGCAACTCCAGGGAACAGTGCCAGGGCCTTGTGCCTCACATACGTACTTGTATGAAGCCTGCAAATGGGCTTAGTGCCCATTCTAAAGCATCAAGTGTTTGAGAGCCAGTGTGGTGTAGTGGTTAAGAGTGGTGGACTCTAATCTGGACTACCAGGTTTGACTCCCCGCTCCTCCACATGAAGCTTGCTGGGCGACCTTGGGTCAGTCAGTTCTTTCAGAGCTCTCTCAGCCTCACCCACCTCACAGGATGTCTGTTGTGGGGAGAGGAAGGGAAGGTGATAGCTGCTCTGAGACTCCTTCAGCTAGGGAAGAGCAGGGTATAAAAACCAACTCTTCTTCTTCAGCTAATACCCAGTGCTTCAGCAGGGGCCCAAGTCCTTCTGCAGAGTTCACACAATAATTTGGCGGGGAGAAGGGGGTTCAGTGTTGTTAACTGAGGGTGCCTTGTCAGCCCAGAATACTGAATGAGATCTCTCAAAAACATCTTGTGAGATAATGGCCATGATTATTGGCCAAAGCAGCCTCCCAGAATTCCAGAGGAGATGCGTGTGAGGCAGGGGGAGCTGGGAGAAGGGTAAGTAGGATCCAAACAAAGGAGAGTGGAGTTTTTCCTCCCTGGAGCAGGAGCAGCTAGGGGAGAAAGCAGGGGACATGTTGGAGAACATGAGACAGGGGAGGAGAGAGCTGGGAAGCAGGGGCAGGGGAGGAGAGAAAATCAGAACGTGGCCAAGGGGGTGGGGGGGGGGGGGGTCCCCCCCCCCCCCCCCCGTGATTCCTTGTAGGTGTTTCTCTTGTAATTCCCAGCTCTTGTGCAATGATATCTATCCTCAACAACATCTGGTCTTATGGTGGACCTTCATCCTTCCTCAGCCTCCTTGTCAATACTGACTGCTACTGTTCCTCCCCATTCGAGAAGATCCATTTTTCTGGGTTTTCTTCACTTCAGACTGGCACAGTGTGCATTGTCACAGAGCAGGACAGCAGCATACTGGAGAAGTATTTAAAAAAAATAGCAAAGGTTTTGTGGGGGCTTGAGGTGGATTGGAAGGGGTTGTCATGACTGGCGTTGTGTCCCAGTTCCCCGGGAAGGGCAGGGCAGGGCAGGCAGCCTCTTCAGCCTGAGAGCTGCCCCTGCTGGGACTGCAGAGTAAAGCTGGCCAGTGCAATTAATTCACTTCTATGGACTTTGATGAGTCAGGGGAAAGGAGGGGTAACTCTGTGCCAGAGCAGGGGAGAGGAGGTTTGGAGGTGAGATGGGTGCAGACGTCATTGCAAACCACACCTCCGGACCAGAGTAGTGCTGTGCTAGTTATTGTCTGAAGGGGTTCCACTATTAAAAGCTCCAAAAAAGTAAGGCTTTGGAGCAACCCTAGGGGCGATAATAGGAATGCAGAGATTTTTGAGAAACATTATCTGGTTGCTTAGGAATAAATGGGTGAGTGACAGATGTCAGTACTGGAAAATCAGAATGGATTCAGAAGGATGGAAGGCTGATCTAGTTTACTCCCCAATAGTCTGATAGCTATCATTCATTACACACAGTCCAAGTTGAGACAGTGGATGTTGACACAACATGACCTGAAAGGGTTCTGTCCAAGCCCATAAGTAGGTGAAATGATGTTTTGTTGTTTGTATAATGATCTGAGTAAATATGCCCTTCATTTCTCCGCCTACAGTGTCTGTGGAGCGTACACTGGATGAAGGATTGCACAAAGGTAGCTATCTGTGTGGGGCTAAAAGAGAAGGGCTGCTTTTGGTGGGAAGGGGAGGTTCAACAGAAGCTCTTTTTTGTTTCAAATATTCAGCACGGCTGTGTTAGTTGCTTCCACTCACCTGGGAGAGGCAGTCGGTTTCCCCTGCCACAAGACTCTCACAGAAAAGGGGAGATCCCCAGGGGTCATTTCATAGAAAAAGAGGTGCAGGAGCTCATTAGCATAACTTATTAGCACAACTTATTTGCATATTCCACACCCCCTGACATCACCGGAAGTGTGTCAGAAGGCAACACCCACCACTCAGGCTTCACTGGACTGTTTTGGATTGCTAGCTATTGGGGGGGGGGGAACGTGCAGATTTGTCATCACAGAGGAGGGAGAGCATATACCTGAAGGTGGGCCGGGTGGGGGGCTCTGCAACTTACCTGGCTGCTTCTTGCTCCTCGTGGCCCAACTGAGGACTGCTGTGAGCAGGGGATGGAGCTTGTTGCATGTGCCCGCCACCTGGGCTCCTTACTGCCGGAGCTCCGCTACTGTGAGCTCCCGCAGGAAATGACCCCTGGAGATCCCAAAGGTTAGGATAGTTTGTAAGAATGAGGGGATGACAGGTGGAAGAGAGCTGGTGGGGTACCTCAGGGCCAGAGGACATGCACGATCTCCCCATTTAGTTGTATAATTAATTCCTGTCTGTAAAGGTAAGTTGCCCTCACCTGGATGGGCCAGGCTATACTGAGCTCATCAGGTCTCAGAAGCTCAGCAGGGCCAGCCATGGTTAGTGTTTGGATGGGAGACCACCAAGGAAGTCCAGGGTTACAATGCAGAGGCAGGCAATGGCACCTCTGATCATCTCTGGAAGGGAAAGGCAACCAGCCTCTTCAGCCTCAGAGCTGCCCTGCTGGGACTGCAGAGTAAATCTAATTCAGTTCTAACCACTTTGATGGGTCGGGGGAAAGGATGAGGGGTGACTCTGTGACAGAGCAGGGGAGGGGAGGTTTGGAGGTGAGATGGGTGCAGACACCATTGCAAACCACACCTCCGGACCAAAATAGTGTCGTCCTAACTAACGTCTGAAGGGGTTCCACTATTAAAAGCTCCAAAAATGTAAGACTTTGGAACAACACTAGGGGTGAAAATAGGAATGAAAGATTTTAGGGGAACATTGTCTGGTCCCTTAGGAATGAATGGGTGAGTGACGGATGTCGGTGCTAGAAAACCAGAACTGATTCAGAAGGATCCAAGGTTGATCTAATTTACTCCTCAATAGTCTGATAGCTGTCATTCGTTACACACAGTCCAAGTTTAGACAGTGGACATTGACACCATGTAATTTCAAAGGGTTCTGTATGAGCCATAGTTGGGGGAAATGATATTTTGTTATTTGCATGATGGACTGAGTACATTTGACCTTCATTTCTCCACCTACAGAGTCTGTGGAGCATATAATGGATGAACTACTGCACCAAGGTAGAAATCTGTGTGGGACTAAAAGGGAAGGGGTGCTTTTGGTGGGAGGGGGAGGTTCAATGGAAGCTCTTTTTCGTTTCAAATATTCAGCACGGCTGTGTTAGTTGCTTCCACTCACCTGGGAGAGGCAGTCGGTTTTCCCTGCTGCAAGACACTCACAGGAAATGGGAGATCCCAAGGGTTAGGATAGTTTGTAAGAATGAGGGGATAACTGGTGGGGTGCCTCAGGGCCAAAGCAAATGCATGAACGGATCTTCGCATTTAGTTCTAAAGTGACTTCCTGTCTGCAAAGGTAAGTTGCCCTCACCTGGATGGGCCAGGCTAGCCTGATCTCATCAGGTCTGAGAAGCTCTGCTGGGCCGGCCCTGGTTAGGATTTGGATGGGAGACCACCAAGGAAGTCCAGGGTTGCAACGCAGAGGCAGGCAGTGGCGTCTTTGAATGTCTCTTCCCTTCAGAAGTCCACAGGGTGGCTGTAAGTAAGCTGTGACTTGATGGTATACAAAAGTGAAGTTGGCTGCCATGCAGGGGATCCATTCAAACGGGAGTTGTGGCACTGGGGAGATTGCTTTTCTCTCCCACCTCAGCTCAAGGATCGGGAATCTTCCAGTCTTACAGGTGCTCTGAGACCTTGACAGTATGAGGCAAGCTTGGATTTGCTCTTCAGCTGCCGGTGCATGAAGCAAGCTGTTCTCTTCTTCAGCAGCTGGGCTGCAAAACGGGCCTCAGGTGCCTTCCTCAGACAGTGCAGTTCTCTTCCTGTGGGAGTGATGCTGCTTCTCCTCTTTCCTGGGCCTGCAGAGGGGGGGGGGTTCTGAGTCACCCTTCAACACATTACATTAACTCTTCCACTGTTGCCCTCTCCTCCTTTCTGTAGTGAATGTGACTCTGGATCTGAAGACAACACATCCCCAACTCATTGTGTCTCCAGAGATGAAGAAGAGGAAGGGAGATATCACCCTTAATCCTGATGAAAAATCCTGGATTGTGCAGACAGAATGCTATGGTGATGATTGTGGTGGTGATTTTGGTGATGATTATGCGAATCGTTGTGTTGAGCATGATGATGTTTTTGATGATTGTGATAGTTTTTTCACTGATGATGATGCGGGTCGTTGTGTTGAGTTTGATGATGTTTTTGAGAGAGATGATGTGGACTGGTAGAGTTCTGCTTTGACTTCCTCTCAGTCAGTCACTTGATCTGCCAGCATTCCACAAAAGATCTTGGTGTCCCTGGACTGTGAAGAAGTTTGTGTGGAATTATTTTCTGCTGAGACAAAGCAAAGTCTCTTTGCTTTCCCTTCAACCTCATTCTCAGTGGAGGCACTCCGTCCCTGTTTCAAAATGCTCATAAAAATGTTGCTCTTGAAGGGAGTTCTCACCATGATGGGTGAAAAGAAGTGACATTTTAGCTATTTCTCTCTAGCTGCAGAAGAGCCCAACTAGGGTTTACAGTCTTAGTGGGGTTCAACAGGACTTCTGGTTCCCATTTGTAGACCACAGAGTTTTGCTTCTCCTGGGCAAGAGGTGTTCAGAGGGTGTAACATCCCTGCACAAACTCCCCAGTGGAAATTGGATTCAAAAGGGTCTCTCCTTTTGTTGCAGTTCTTTATAACACAATTGGATTCTCTTCTTAAAAACTGTGGGAGGGCAGAACGCTTCATGAGGCTCCACTGATGTTCTTGATGGGGCTTTTCTGCCTTTAAATTTCTTTTTGGTTGGGGACAATTCAACCCTTTTAAAGCTTTTGTCGTCCATCCCCCCCCCTCCCAAAAAAGATATGCCTGGAGTTCAACTGTCTGATGTGTGTGCATGAGACGTTCTAAACCAGAACTTCATACTCCTGGAGGATCTCTTCTGACTGCAGCTGAGGCAGGCTCCTCCTTGAGGGTGGTGGTCAGAGATTATGTAATTCGCATTGATCTGGTGGGTCTGAGTAAGGAAGGGAATGGGAGAAAGAAATCAAGACATAGATGAACTCATAAGATAAACAGAATGGCGGGTAAGGGAATCTCAAGAGTTCACAGTCTTATTGAGTGGAGAAACTCATTCCTTACCCAAGGAGGCCACATTCCCATAATTCTCCATCATGACTTCCCTATACATGACCACATCCTCAAAGCTCACCAGCCTCTGTAAAAACAAAGAGACACTGATCTGAGCCCTGAGTTTTATGAATGAATCAGTCTGATTATATGCCCAAGACAGCTGGTCCTTTTTGGAGTCTGCAAGAAAACCGAAAACTCCATTTCCTGGGATAGAAACTGCATTTTCACTGGTGGTGAGTGGGTTGAAGGAAATATGTAGATGCCACCTGTGAGTCAACCTGTCATCTGGGAAGGGGGGAGTTGCTTGGAGTTATTTCTATTCTAACACCTCCTGCCTTGTACATGGGGCATGCTCTTGGCACGCTTCACTACTTTTAAGGCTGATTTGGTTAAAATAACCTCAGAGGGCATTTTGAATTTGTGCCACAGTTACTGATTGGCCCAAGAAGGGAACTTCCTATCTAAGGGGGAAACCAGAGAACGCAAGAGTGTTGGTTTGCCCTGCAGGTTTAACCCCCTTGGACAAGTTGGTGGGCCAGTCAGAGGGTCTCTTCTGTGACACAGGCACCTATATACAAACATTTCTTATTTGCCTGCCTGGGCTCCAAAGCCATCCTTTCCCTTGCCTTGTAAGATCGCAGCAACGTAATTCTTCACTCTATAGGATATGGCAAAGGAGAAACACTTCAGGAAAACCAAATTCCAAGACACTGGCTCAGAACCAGAAGGGCTGTTAAATGGTGTTTTTCAACCCAGGTCAGGAAGAGGGGAGAGCCGCTCAGAGAAGACAACACAGGGGTAGGGTGGCGAATGGTCTGACAGTTACGAAATAGCATCTTCTGTGTGGTATAGGGAGGGACTGGAGCTGGGGCCTTAGACCACAAAGATCTGGGTTCAGATCCTGTTGTGAGGTGTATTTACTTAGTATCTCTCTGTGTTTGCTTCAGGGTATTGTTGTGAGAGTAACAATGGGGGGGGGGGACGGATCAACCCTCAGTGGAGGAAGATCCCAATTTAAAAGAGAAATAAAATGTCTATGTACTCTTAACACATTTCCCATCAGCCCATCCCACCTCACAATTGGGGAGGAAATTTGGCAAGGTCTCCCTGCAGCATCAGGTTCACACAGTACACCCGGGAAGGAAAAACTGCTTTCCCCAAATAGGAACTTGAGGTTCTTTACGCATCTTTAGAGAATGCAGCTCCATAGGACGGGGGAGGGAATGGGTAGCAATATTCTCCTTCCTGCCTCATAAAAAAGGAAAAGGTTTCCCTTGCTCGAAAGCCAGTCGAATCCGACTCTAGGGTTGCGGTGCTCATCTCCTTTTCGAAGCCGAAGAGCCAGCGCTGTCCGAAGATATTTCCATGGTTATGTGGCCGGCATCACTAAATGCCAAGGCGCACGGAACGCTGTTACCTTTCCACCGAAGCGGTACCTATTTATCTACTTGCAATTTCTTGCTTCATACATGGGGATTAATCGAACCTCCCATTTATAACATGGATCATTGGGAGCTATTTGATTTGCAAGGACTTTCCCGCCATACACCTATGTAGTAGGTACATTAGTGATTTGTTCAGCTTCAGGCCTTATTGATGATTTCTCTTTGCTTATGAACCTGTGTAACGTTTATTTGCTAAGGCTGGACAAGAAGCTGCTTGCATGGCATAACATTTCCCGAGGCCCAAAATGTATCCCTGAAGGGGCATCTGCATAGCTGGTCTCAGGGCTCATAGATACAAGAGTTTTCACTTTCAATGTAAGAGCACTGAATGTCCATTGTTAATGTAGCAAGGAGGGCTGAGATGGAAGTTCATAACCTCCAGCCGGGAGACCTGAAAAGTTCATTGTGTTCTGCCAAAAAAAGGCAGGTATCATCATGTACTCCTGCCAAACTAGCAGTTCGAAAGCAAGAAATTGCAAGTAGATAAATAGGTACCACTTCAGTGGGAAGGTAACAGTGTTCCGTGCGCCTTGGTGTTTAGTCACGCCGGCCACATCATCACGGAAATGTCTTCGGACAGGGCTGGCTCTTCGGCTTTGAAATGGAGATGAGCACCGCAACCCTAAAGTCGGATTCGACTGGCTTTCAAGCAAGGGAACTGTGCTGCTGATTCTTGACTTTAGCGCCAGATGGAACAGGAACCTTTACCTATCATCATGTAACGTAACTGTGACCTGTATACCAAAGAATCTATGATAGCCAGTTAATATTTTGCTTGCAAAATGACAGTAACCAATCAATGCTTTAACTTTGCTCTGTATTCTGAGTTTCTTGATATGATGTTTATGTAACCCATCTATTTCATTGCTATGTTATACTGTTTCAGTATATATTGTTATAAAAATTATATGTTATTAATCAAACTTAAATAAAAAACCAAAAAAACCCCCACTTTGCTTTGTGTAACAACTTCTGCTTCTGGAAGAGAGGCAGAGAACGGTCTGAATGCTGGCTGTGTTCTCTCTTATCTGCGCAATGACAAAAGTACTTAAAATCTCCTACATTGATGTACTAACATAGAAAGAGGTCTTAAACTGGCCCAGTAGGTAGGGAACAGGGGAAGATGATGGCAGCAGTCCAGAGAAAGCCCACGCCTCTTCCAGAACTCCTTGCAAAGGGTGGTGGAAACGCTAACCATGCGGCTCTTCTCCTTTCCCTAAGAGCACATCCCGATCCAGCTGCAAAAAGGAGACTCGCTCCCCGCATCCAGCCACAGCTTTAAAAGCCTGTCTTCAAAGGCCTGCCTGCTTTCCCCTGCTCACACAGCCTGCTTGATTTCTCCTGCTCACTGCATCATGAGGCGAGAGCACTTGCAAAAATGCAGACCAATCCCCAACAAAACCTTCAAACCACAAGAATCAAACACTCCTCCATTCATCCCCGCATTTCCCTCACCAGAAAACTGGGACAAGCAATATGGCTTTTCCGGTTTTTCCTCTCCCATCTCATCCCCAAGAGGGTTTTGGCCACTGTGTGACACAGAGTGTTGGACTGGATGCGGCCAATGGCCTGATCCAGCATGGCTTCTCTTATGTTCTTATGAGATCCCGACCCAACTACAAGACTCCCTCCGTATCCCTCGCCCCACTTTTAAAAGCCCATCTTCCATTTTTATCCCATCCAGGAAGGCAAGAGACCCAGCCTGCAGACGCTCACTTCCTCCTGCCCTGAACTGCATAAAGAGACGAGCAAAGCTAAGACTGGCTCAGAATACATATGGAAGAACACCCTCCTCCCTTCCCCTTCCCAATAGGTTTTGTTCTTTAGCAAAAAGCAACATTCAGATATTCCTCCAGACTTACACTCATTCCCGTGCTGCTGTCACCTTCCTGACTCTTTTCTAAGGCGCAAGCAACTCACGTGCTCCATCCACGACTGTCCAGAGGCTCAATCACAGTTTCTTTGTTGTGCGTGGGAATTCAAACCTTTTAAAAAAAATTATACCTCCCCCCCCATGAAAAGATATGCCTGGGGTTCAACTATCCTATGTATTCTCTGGTGTCTGTTTGTGTCATTGTTTTTAATGGGCATGGTAGTTTCCAAATACTAATCCATATACAGTTGTTCCAGTGTCCTTCCACCTCTCTTGTCTCATGCTTCTCCCAAAATTACAACTGATCCCCGGACTGCAGAGATTAGTTTCCCTGGAACTGGAAATGACCGCTTCAATGGCTGAGGTAACATATATTCCTTTTGGTTGCCACCTACTGACCAACTGGCAGATAGTTTTTGTTGGGAAGGGAAGATGGGGTTCATGGAGGCCCGATTCCAAAATGGATGTCCACGAAAGCTCACACCTTGAATAAAACTTTGTTGGTCTTGTTATGCACTCAGCACTCTGTCTGATTTAGTAGGCACAGATATGTTAAGTGCCATTGATGATTCTAATTACAGAAAGAGAAATCAATTATAAACATATATTCAGATATTCACTTTGGTTCATTGCTTAAATGCATTCTGGGGAAAATACTAAATGCTGACAGGCAGTAACTGACTGCTTATAACCTTGCTTATAATGGCCAGTTGTAACTGCGCATGTCCCTGATATCAGGTAGCTTGCATTAAATGGAAACCATACTGTACGATGTACCCATATCTGTTATTACATTAAATACTTTTCATCATTTCATAGTATGGGAAGAAGAAGGCCCATTGTTCAACTGAAGGAGGTATATTTTTGCCTAAGAAAGTCCAACCTACAGGCCTGGGCCCAATCAGAATAGTGTGACGGCGGATATATGACAAAGTTTGATGGAACCAATCATTATGATTTATTTCTAACTGTCATAGAGGGTATAAAACTTTATGTCTCCCATTGTAACCTTAGGGAGAGCTGTGGGGTCCAAAACCTTATCTGATCTGCACCTTCCTCCTTTGTTAATAAAGTACAAGATCTGATTCTGCTCTACAGGACTGTACTGAGTGTTTTCTCAAACTGGGCTGGGGAAACACACACACACACTCAGGATTATTTTCTGTAGGTCAGTCTTAAAGGTGCCATTGGACTCTAACTTTGTTCTACTGCTTCAGACCAACAGGGCTACCCACCTTGATCTAACCCCATGAAGAGAGTTCCAGGTGGTCAGCCGTGTTGGACTGAAGCAGTAGAACAAACTTAGAATCCAGTGTTCAACTCATCCCCTAACGACAGGTCAAAGTTCACCTGGGGAAAACGGCTGTTGTGGAGGGTGGACGTATTATACCCTGCTGAGATTCCGCCCGAAATCTACGAGAATCTCTCAAGGCTGTGTCGGTCAGACTCCCCTGCAGCCTGGGAAACTGCAAACGCCTCCTGCTTCGGAAAAAGGGGGGGGGGGGCAGGAACAATAAGAATGGTAAAAGTCGTACTTCTTCCTGATTGGTCAGATTAGGCGCACGTGCCCTCCTCAAGGCTGTTGCCACCCAATCAAAGGCGGAGTTTTGCGCGCCCGCGTAGTTTTTCCCCCATCAGTGCAGAGCAGGGCTGCAGTCGAGCGGTTCCTTTGGTCGGAGGAGTTCGGTTTCTTGCAGCGTTGGGTGAGGAGTGTGTTTATCTATGGCGGCGTTAAAGGGAGGGGGAGATGATACGCACGGGGTAGGAGGTTGTGAGCGGCGGGCGGGAGACGAGCTCGCACGCAAGCGGTTAAACCGCATTCCTCTCGTTGCGAGTGGAAAGTAACTCCACGGAGGCGTCTGAAGGAAGCGGCGCCGGTGCTGCAGCGCCTGCAGTTTACGCTTTCCCGCGCCGCAACCTGGACCTGTAAAACGATCCGGATGTGGATTCACGCAGTTGGAGTGGGGGACACGGAGCTGCTGGGTAGGCCGATCCCGTCAGACCAGCGTCGGCCCTGGCTGGTACTTGGCTGGGTGACCGCTAAGGAATCCCAGGGTCCAACGCCTCTTGCCTTGAAAAAGCTCCGGGGTTACCGTAGGGCAGCTGTGACTTGAGGGCAGAAGAGCAACGCAGCCATATTGCCCCCCCCCCCCCATCCCTCGCCTTTCCTAAGAACCACTCAGAATAAGCTTCATAAGGCAAGGGAGTGAGGGAGTACCTGGCAAGGGAGGTCTCTGTCTGATCCGGAACTCTCCAAGATCCCAGTTCAGGGACTCGTTTTCCGTGTGGCAAAGTAACACAATGTAAAGGAGGCTTTTGGCCACGTGTGCCGCTGTACGAATCTCCCCCCCCCCCCCCCCCCCAATGCTGGGTAATTAACTAGACACGCGAAGCTTAAAATAAAGGAAGGGCTGCTCATTTATTTATTTATTTTAATAGAGCAGCGGCACAAATTTTTTGGGGACGTGCTGAAACTAAGGACAGCTGCTCGATTGGATTTGATCCACGAATCCACCGCAGTTAAGCTGCCCCAAACTATGCCTAGATTTATTTACTTTATTGTGCGTCTGTCTTGTTGTGACTCAAGGTGTGGATTAGGAAGACAGTGCAATAGAAATCCATAGCTACGCGTAAAAAACAAAGCAAAAAAAAATCCACTATGGGTTGATGCCACTAGAGAAGAATAAAAAACAGCATACAGTGCAGGAAGGCGAAGAGGGGAAAGAAAGCTGCTTGAATATTTCCCCAGACCTGTCAGCTAGCTGCCATAGAGGCTTGGGGGGGGGGGGGACGCTCATTCCTTGGAATGTTACTTTCATTTTTGGGCCGTCTCAGTGATGCTCTCTTATCTGCTTGTTTTATGTGCTTGTCCTTGAGCGTTTCCCCATAACACTTTCTCTGGGAAAGTCAGAAGTTACATATTGACGGGCCCTTTCTCAGCCCCCCCCCCCCATTGGCTCTCTGCCGCCCAGTGACCCCTTTGAACAATGTATACCTGTTCACCCCGCCCTTTATGCTTTAGTCTTAACACAGAACCTGAAGTAGAAATGACAAGCCGGTTCATTTTGAAAAGCTGCCCTCCCGAACAATTCTGTTGCATGCATTGTGCAAAAGGACAGATGGTTTAGGAGCCTTGCTTGCCTTTTGGTGTCAGGAGAAGGGCAGCAGCCTTACAATAAGGTTAAAAGGAATGCATGCACGGGACCAAGGGCTGAGAGCTCTTTCCAGAAAATTCTCCTTGAAAGAACAACTCTGGCAGAACTATGGCTTGCCCAAGGTCATCCAGCAGCTGCAAGTGGAGGAGTGGGGAATCAAACCCGGTTCTCCCAGATTAGAGTCCACGCACTTAACCACTATACCAAACTGACTCTCAACACCAAACTGGTTTAATGTGGCATCTCACTCGAACGCTTGGCAGAAGAGCTTCGTCTTGCAGGTTCTGTGGAATTTTGATAGATCCCACAGGGCCCCAATGTCCTCAGGGAGCTCATTCCACCAAAGCAGAGCCACCACTGAGAAGATCTAGCTCTTTTCTAATACTCTCCCCAAGAGCCAGTTTGGTGTACTGGTTAAGAGCGAAGGACTCTAGTCTAGGAGAACTGGGTTCGTTTCCCCACTCCTCCACATGAGGCCAGCTGGGTGACCTTGGATCTTCAGAGCTCTCTCAGAGCTGTTCTCTCAAGGGCATTTGTCGAGAGAGCTCTCTCAGCCCCACCTACCTCACAGGGTGTCTGTTGTGGGGAGAGATAGGGAAGGAGATTGTAAGCCTCTTTGAGTCTCCGAGTGAAGGACAGGATACAAATCCAACTCTCCTCCTCCTCCTTCATCCAAGGTTTTACTGGAGAGTACTTCAGTTCGAGGTTAAGACCCTGATTGGGTTTTAAAAAGTAACGGCCTTTTGATTTTGTTCTGACAATTCCAGCTATTAAAAAAGATCAGTATTCCTTTCTGCTGTTAATTCCCAAATAATGTTGCAACCTTCCCAAAAGCAGTATGTCAACGTGATCAACAGTGCAGGCCTGTAGTCTCTAACAGTAGCGTGGTCTAGTGGTTAGGGGGCTGGACTAGAGTCAGAAACTCCGGTTCAAATCCCCCCTCTGCCCTGGAAGTTTGTGGGGTGAAGGAGGCTGATGTCAGCCACTTTTGAGTCCCCATTGGGGAGAAAGGTGGGATATAAATAAGTACTTAAATAAACAATATCAGGAGCCACTAACCCTCCTTTTCAGAGGATTTTTATTTTTCGTGAGTAGCAGTTCCTCATTCATTTTGGCATGCTATCGAGTCCTGCTCAGTGAAGATAATTCCTCCCCCCCTCAAAAAAAAAACCCCAACCCCTTACTCATGAGGTAAATTCAGGAATACAGATCCCCAGACAGTGTTTGATTTTTTTTAAAAAAATCAACGCTGTTTTTTTTTCATTTCAGGAAGAGAGAAGAAGCCATGGCAGCCAGGAGTCTCGTCAAGGAGTTCTCTGAGGAAACCACTTGTTCCGTCTGCCTGGACTACTTCAAAGAGCCTGTGACCATTGAGTGTGGGCACAATTTCTGCCAAGCCTGCCTCACCCGGTGCTGGGCAGAGTCTGTCACAGGCCCTTCCTGCCCGCAGTGCCGAAAAGCTTCCCAGCAGCAGAACTTCAAGCCAAACTGGCAGCTGGTGAATCTTGTGGAACTTGTCAGGAAACTTCAGGCGGGAAATGGAGCCGAGGCAAAGTGGGGAGGGTGCGAGAGGCACCGGGAGCCCCTGAAGCTCTTCTGCTTTGATGACCAAGCCCCCATCTGCGTGGTGTGCGACCGATCCATGGAGCATCGAAATCACAGAGTGCTTCCAATGGAGGAGGCTCTCCTCGAGTATAAGGTAAGAAAACATTACACTAGGTTGGGGTATCTGGATCTATAAATGACGATGCAGGATGTTCTGTCAGGGTTTAGACTTATTAGGTTTGGGAGGAATGGATGGAGTTATGATTCATTTATTAATGTTATTTATAATCTGCCTTTCTCACTGGGGCTCAAGGCGATTACACAAGGTAGTGGCCTCCTCTCCCATCTTAATATTAACTTGGCTTTTAAGTAGTCTGATGAGGAAAGCCCCAACTCCAAGTCACCCCAGTCGAGTGTGCCTTGCAAAACCAGCCTGTAACAGGGTTACAGGGGTGAAGGAGTAAAACCACCTATGTGCTCTCACAAGCATGCATGCGGATGCTCCATGCTTCAGACAGAAGGGAATCTTCCGCCACCTCTCCTTTTTTCTGTATAACACCCCTCCCCCCCACTGGCATGCCTGGAGACCTTCTCTTGCCCTGCTCTGCAATCCAGTTTCTCTCTCTGGTCATCTGAATGTAGGCTGGCCAAATTTAGAAATCAAATACAAGTAGAAACGTGAAAGAAGTTATTTTGCTTCCTTGTGTCCTCCCACCCCTTGACCAGTTCCTTCCGACTTGTTTCTGAGCTTAAAGCAGATACAGTCTTATAATGCATTCTTTCTGTTCCTAAATTATGTTAACTTGAAAATCCATTAAAGTAAAAAAAATGACTGCACATCTTGGACCTGGCAGATTTGGACTTGAGGAAGATCCATTCACTAGGAGTCCATTTTCATTCAGAGATGGAGAACCTCACGCAGACCAACTTGGGAAGTTTTGGGACCAGATTAACACCACCTGTCTTTGCTGCTCCTTGTCCCATCCTCCCCCTTTCCCCTTGTTGACTCTGCCTCTTTCCCCCCCTCTCTTCTCTCTGTCTCCTGTTTCCCTCTCTGCCCTGCTGTGCCCCCCCCCCCCAGTCTCACACGAGTTCCCAATCTCTGAACCAATTTCTAGATTCCCTGGCACACTCAGTGCAAAACATAAGCCTTACCCTGTTTTGTGGGGCTGCCTTAGCAATCCAAACCAGTGCTGAGGTCTCACAAGGGGGTCTTGTGAGATCTTGGACATCAGAGTAAATCAGAAAAATGTCATGGAATATTAAAGGCTCTCTGATCCATTCATTATCCAATCAACCTTTATCTATATACTAATATCGAAGTCAGCCAAATGTGAGGCTACTTAAATACAGCGACTGGAGCTGTAAATAGGCAAGGCAGATCTTTCTACAAGTCTGAAAAGGGTTGCTGGTTTGCAGAAAAATCTGAACTCCCCCCAAAAAATCATTGGGGGGTTTAAAAATCCCAAAGTGATAAAAGGAGCACCTGTAGCTTTAAGAAATGGAAGCTTCAGTGGCTGTTGCTATGCAAACTCAGCTTCCCAGGCTGGTTTTCTGTAATTAAAAAGGCAGGGGGAGAGGGCAGGATCATTTCCCTATGAAAGCCAGTGTGGTGTAGCAGTTAGAGCATCCAAGTAGGGTCTGGGAGACCCAGGTTTGAATCCCCATCTCAGTTTGGAGCTCATTGGGTGGCCTGTAATGTGTGTTTATATAGTTAATATAAGTTAGAAATCCACAGAAGACCTCAGTGTCTGTGGTATATTTCCTTTATTACAGTACATAGCATTAGTTGTTACAGCTTTCCTCCTTCCAGCTGTTCATCCCGGCCAGGAGAATGGTGGGGGGAGGGACCAAGGCTAGAGGGGCAGTTTGGGAGACCCCTGAGATCAGCTAGCTCTGGGGAGGCTTTGAGGAGGCTGATTGTGCTCATGTAGTCTGCCGCAGTGGCCTGAGAAAGACTAATGAAGAGGTTTGGATTTATACCCTGCCCTTCACTTGGAGTCTCAAAGCAGCTTACAATCTCCTTCCCTTCCTCTCCCCACAACAGACACCCTGTGGGACTGAGAGGCTTCCGAGAGAACTGCTCTGACAGAGCTGTGACTGGCCCAAGGCCACCCAGCGGGATGCATATGGAGGAGTGGGGAATCAAACCCGGTTCTCAGATTAGAGCCCACCACTCTTAACCCCTGCACCAAACTGGCTTAGAAGGACAGGGTTTAGAAGCACACACCAGTGAGGAGGTGGCGTAGACTCCTACTGGATTTAAGGGGAGTGGAGCATCATCAATTTCCATCTTTCCTGATCTTAAAGTAATTTTATAAATTTGGTCATTTTTCTAGGGAGTTATGGCTGGTAAAAAAAACCCCTCTGGAGCTCAGTTCCGCAAACGAAAGGCAGAAAGAGCCAAGGAGCAAGCCAAGCAAGCAATCAGGGAAGAAGAGCAATATTGGCGACCAGTCTTGGAGCGTTTGGTTGCCATGGTCAAATTTCTTGGTATGCAACACCTGGCATTCCATGGTACGAATGAAAATTCGTACAGAGAGAGCAATGGACATTTTTTGAAGCTTGTTGAACTTTTAGCCCTTTTTGACCCTATCCTGACTGAACATGTACGCAGAGTTAAAGATGAAGAAACCATGGTTCACTACCTAGGAAAAGACATCCAAAATGAGCTTCTAGAGCTTCTAGCAAGTGCTATAAGGCAGAACATTTTAGCACATGTAAACTCAGCCAAATACTACTCAGTTATTTTGGACTGCACACCTGATGTTAGTCACACTGAACAAATGACAGCGACTGTACGTTTTGTCAGTGTAATCAAACCACCAGATACTGAGATGTCTGAGCCTGAGGTTACGATAAGAGAACATTTCTTGGGATTTGTTCTACTAAAGGAGACTACAGGGGCCTTTATGACAGAAACTCTTCTTGGACTGCTTGATCAAATGGGATTACCACTTGAGGATCTGCGCGGTCAAAGTTATGATAATGGGAGTAACATGAGAGGTAAGGAACACGGAGTACAAAAGAGAGTTCTGGATATAAATCCACGTGCCTTTTTCGTGCCCTGCAGTGCACACTCTTTAAACCTGGTAGTCAGTGATGTTGCTAAGTGTTGCCTGGAAGCAACAAGTTTCTTCATGTTGGTCCAGCAGATCTATAATTACTTCTCTGCATCAACTCATCGTTGGCAAATTCTAACTAGCCATGTACCAGCCATTACTGTTAAGCCACTGAGTCAAACAAGATGGGAGAGTCGGACTGATGCTTTGCAACCACTGAGATATCATCTTGGTAGTATATATGATGCTTTAATGGAGATCTTTAATGACTCAAGCCTACAAGAATCATCCACAAGTGATTCTCGAGTTGAAGCTAAGGCTCTTGCTGATGCAATTAGCAAGTTCAAGTTTGTGGTATCCCTTGTTACATGGTACAAGATCCTTTTTGAAATTCATCTGACAGACAAGCTACTACAAAATAAGGAAACTGATTTAAATTTCGCTACAAGCCAATTACAAGTAACTAAGAACTACCTTGTGGGCTGTAGGTGCGATGAAGCTTTTGAACAGGTTTTGGTAGCTGCTACTAAGATCGCAAAACAGCTAGAAATGCTACCAAACTTTGAGACAGAACAAAGACAAAGGAGAAAGAAAAAGCAGTTTGAGTCTGAGGCCCCAGAAGAGGCACCACAAGATCCAAAGCAACAATTCAAAGCGAATTTCTATTATGCTGTCTTAGATGTGGCCATACAATCAGTTGAAGAGAGATCCCAACAACTACAACACTGTAATTCCGTCTTTGGCTTCCTGTATGATATATACAGTATTAAGGAAAAATGCACTGCAGATTTACGTAAGGCCTGCAAGAATTTGGAACAAGCACTGACGCACGATGGTAACAGAGATATTGATGCGGAAGAGCTGTGTTATGAACTGCAAGCAGTAGCTCGAAGACTTCCAAAGCCTATGCCACCACAAAGAGTACTTCTCCACATACTTCAACAAAGAATCCAGGATAGCGTGCCTAATGTTTGTATTGCTCTAAGGATCCTTCTCACGCTTCCAGTGTCAGTGGCAAGTGGTGAACGCAGCTTCTCAAAACTCAAACTTATAAAAACGCACATACGCTCGACAATGCTGCAAGAGAGACTGCTTGATTTGGCAACTATTTCAGTTGAACATGCTGAAGCATCAGTGCTTGACCTGAAGGAATTGGTGACAAAATTTGCTAAAGAAAAGGCACGGAAAATGAGAGTCTGATGTGCCTGAAATGGAAACATTAAAGAGACTTAAATGTCAACATCACAATTAACAGGATTTTTCAAAATGTTTTTTGATTTCTGATTTTCTGTTTGAGAGAGAAAATCAGAGATTGTATTACTTGTTCTCACAATTGAAAAAGAAATTAGTGATTTCAAATTTTGTGTTTTTCATTCTTCCTGAAATGCATTTATGTTCGAAAATTGGTGGGCTAGGGGGGGGGGGAGGTAGCCTCGCCTAGTGTGCAAAAAATAAGCTGGCACCGACCCTGATCAGGATCTGCTCTCAGGGGAAGGAGACGAGCTGCGTGGCTAGCCTTTGCCCCACCCTTTGCAAGAATTCTGGAAGAGCTGCAGGATCCTGCCCAGAGGCAGGTCGGTCCTGCCATTTCCTCCCCTCCATTCAAATGCCAAAAGGGCAGGGTTGGGGAAGCCTCCAGTGGAGCAACGTTTGCTCTTCAGTGCCTCATCCAGACCAGTCATTTTGTAAATCAGCTCTAATGCTCAGTTCAATTACTTTAAATAGGGCAAATGCGATTAAAACCGCAGCACTCTATTCACGTCGATTAATGTTAAGACATGGGCTTCCTCTGGACCGCAGCCATCGTCTTCCCCTATTCCCTGTCTACTGGGCCAGTATAGGTAAAGCCTCTTTCAGTGTTAGTACGTCAGTGCAGGCGTATGGCGGAAGAAAGGTTTGCAAATCAAATAGTTCCCAGCGATTCATGTTAGAAATGGGGTGGCTCGTTTACTCCCCCCAATCATCTACAAATAAGGGAGGTGAATAGTGCTACTCCCTTCCTCCTTTGTCCTAAGGAGCTGCATTCTCTGAAGCTGCAGGAAGAACCTCAGGTTCATATTTGGGGAAAGCAGTTTTTCCTTCCCAGCTCTACTGTGGGAACTTGAAGCTCCAGGGCGATCCTGCCAAATTTCCTGTCATGAATGTCTCCCTTTCGGCCTAACTGTGAGGCTAGTTTGGAGTCAAAGGGATGACTCTTACCTCCCCCCCCCCTATATTTTTCTGAGGGCCCATCTGTTTCCATATGATTTCCTAGTTTGTTTCTTTTCATTTGGAAGTTGATGAGGTAGGATGGGGCGAAGAGAAACGTGTTAAGACTACATAGGAATTTTATTCCTCTTTTAAATCTGGAGGATTGATGCATCTCCCCCCCACACACACACACCATTTGTAATTGTTACCCTCACAACAGCACCCTGAAGCAGACAACACCAAGAGATAGTGGTTTAGTAAGTAAATAAGCCTAACAACTTTGAGGCTGAGTCAAGTGGTTAAGACGCTGAACTGCAGGCTGTGGAAGGTCAGTAGTTCAGCGGTTCAAGACCCGAGTGTGCCGCAAGACAGGGTGAGCTCCTGTCTCCAGCTCCTGCCAACCTAGCAGTTCGAAAGCAAGAAATTGCAAGTAGATAAATAGGGACCACTTCAGTGGGAAGGTAACAGCGTTCCGTGCGCCTTGGTGTTTAGTCATGCCGGCCACATGACCACAGAAGCGTCTTCGGACAGCGCTGGCTCTTCGGCTTTGAAAGGGAGATGAGCACCGCAACCCTAGAGTCGGATTCGACTGGCTTTCGAGCAAGGGAACCTTTACCTTTACCTTTTACAGGATTTGAACCCAGATCTGCTTGGTCCCAGGCCTCTGCTCCAGCCCCTATACCACACAGAGGATGCTATTTTATACCTGTCACACCATTAGCCAGCCTATCCCTGTGCTGCCTTCTCTGACTGAGAGAGGCTCTTCCCTCTTCCTGAGTTAACAGCCCTTCTGGTTCTGAGACAGTGTCTTGGAATTTGGTTTTCCTGAAGTGTTTCTCCGTTGTCTTGCCCTACAGAGCGGAGAATGATGTTGCTGTGATCTTCCAAGGCAAGAGAAAGGATGGCTTTGGAGTCCAGGCAGGCAGGAGATGAGAAATGTTTGTATATGGGTGTCAGTGTGAGATAGAAGAGACGCTCTGACTGACCCACCAACTTACCCAGGGGGGTTTCAGTTAAACCTTCAGGGCAAACCATCCTTGTTGCCTTTTCTGGTTTTCTCCCTAGATAGGAAGTTCTATTTTTGGGCCAATCAGGAATGGTGGCAGAAATTCAAAATGCCCTCTGAGGGGATGTTGACCCATCACGAGTAAATATGAAAGGCTTTCAGCCTTTAAAATAGTGAAATGTACAAGGCGGGAGGTGTTAGAATAGCAATAATTCCAAGGATCCTCCCCCCTTCCCGGATGCCAAGATGACCCCAGAAGGTGGCATCTGCATTATCCCGTCAACCCACTTACCTACCAGTGAAAATTCAGTTTCTGTCCCAGGAAATGGAGTTTAGGGCTCTCTTGCAGATTCCAAACAGGACCAGCCTTCTTGGTTATAGAATCAGATCGATTCCGTCATCAAACTCAGGGCTCACATGAGTGTCTTGTTTTTACAGAGGTCGGTGAGCTTTGAGGATGTGGTCATGTATAGGGGAGGTCATGGTGGAGAATTTTGGGAATGTGGCCTCCTTGGGTAAGGAACGTGTTCAACCACTCAGTAAGAGTGCAACGCCTTGATTCCGCCGCCTGCCATTTCATTTGACTTAGATCATTTGTTTTGATTTTTTTTCTCCTATTCCCTTCCTTGCTCAGACCCACCAGATCAGGGCAGATTACCAAAGTGACAATTCATTTCGTGATTGGTTTCTGTGGCAGAACTCAACATGATGGAATCTCTCTTGGGAGTATGAAGCTGGGAGTCCAGACTGGATCTTAATTCTAGAATGAAAGGAGCACATGGGATACAGATTTTTTTAGATGCAGTTCCGCAGGGCCTGCAAGACGGAGCTCTTCCGCCAGGCCTTTGAGTAGGAGCCGCTGCCCCTACTATACCACCACCGCCATGGTTTGGACGAGGCCCTGAGGAAACATTTGAATATTGTAAAGAAGCCCTAAGCCGTGGGAAGTACTACTGGGATCTTCTGGACCTATGATTTGCCATCTTTGGATTTATGGAAGTTATTGAGCACCATTGTTTTAACTTTAGGATGTTTTAAGATGTATTATATGTTTTTAAGTACTATGGCCCCTGCCACACGCAGGGGAAAAGGCGCTTGGCGCGGCGGGATCCCCCGGCCGCGCCGCCTTTTCTCCCCGGCGTGTTCAAACGCCGGGGAGAAAACACGCCCTACCCGGGGGCCGGCCGAACTGTGCATGTCCGGGCATGCGCAGTTCGGATCCGGGCCGGGGTTGAGCCGGCGCAGGGAAGCGGCGGCGATCAAACGCCCCGGTTGCCGCGCCGCTTCCCTTTAAACCACCTAGATAGGTGGTTCAGTTTGCGCCGGCTCATCCCGGGAAAGGGACAGTTTGGGTACGGAAGCCGGACGCTTCCCAGATGTTGTGGTGTGATCGCGCCGGTTTGATCCGGCCCCAAACTGTCCTGCTCCCGGACCAAATCGGTGAGTGAACGGGACCTATGTATATTATGTTTTTATTATGGCAAGGTTCTACCTTGCCCCTGTAAGCCGCCCTGAGCCCATTGGGGAGGGCGGGGTATAAATGCGAAAAATAAATATAGAAGAGCCCAAGAAGGTTGTGTTGGCAGGGAGTACGAATTTGGAAGGCACTGCCTCTTTCGTAAGAGGATGTTTGGCTTGGAGCCTCCTGAGATTTTGTTGATCTTCCAACATTTGGTGAGCTGTCCCATCCCATGGCAGCCATTTTGTGATGGTACCCACTCACTCACCAAATTTCCAAACTCAGGGACTTCTGTCTCCATTCCAATTCGGAATATCTTGAGAAAGCCTCTCCAGGTTATACCCCTCTAGCCCCTCAACAGAAACCTCTAAAAGGAAAACGGCTGCGCCGGATTTGTATTTCCCTGCCTGCAGGCTAGTATGACCAAAACAACGTCATGGGATTCGCGTAGATTTCGGGCGGAATCTCAGCAGGGTATAGTGCCATATGTCCACCCTCCACAGCAACCACTTCCTCCAGGTGGAGTTTTACCCATTGTCTGGGGATCAGTTGTACTTCTGGGAGATTGCCAGGCCCCATCTGGAGGTTGGCAACTTGCTCCCCCCCATCTTTGTCGGTTGTCATAACAAGGGATACTGCCAATTGAACAGTGGGATACCTGCGTATCAGGTCATCTGAATCCCCAGCTGCTTCGTTTTCTTTTTTAAAAAAGATGGTCTGGCCCTTTCCCTTGTGGAGCTCTGATGAACTCGGTTTGACTCACATTCCCACCTACAGAGTGCAGTTCTCTTGCCTTCTTCCCTTCTGCAGCGCTGAATGCCCCTCCTGCAATGCTCCCCCCCCCCAAGGAATGGCAGGCAGCACAGGGAGCACTTTGGGCCTGCAACAAGGGTTACCAAGTCAAGAGCCCCGGACAGAAGGGAATTCGGGGAGAGAATTTGATGCCATAGAGTTTGGAGTTTACATCAGCAGGTCAAGAGCTAGCGAATTGTCTCCACCGTGGAGATTGCCAAGTGACGGGTTCTCCTTCTACAAGAATCCACTTGCCACCTGGACCCTGTTTGATCTCCAGCTTAGAGATTGAACTGGCAGATTTAGTAGGACTGGGCCTTCCATGTTAGACAAGGGGTTCGAGCGGGATATCAAATCGAATGTATAAATAAATAAGTAGTTGACACCATGGCACAGTCCAGAATACCTGCTTCCAGTCGTCTCTATAATTGTACATGGCAGACATTCACTTAAAAAAGACATCATTCCCTTTCTACACAAAGGTTTGGAGTCAGGTTCTAAGACCAGATAACTTAAAAGACAGGTTGCAGCACTGGCCTCTATGGGGGACTGCATAACACTGCCTAATTTTTCTTCTCATAGCTTCCCTGAAAAGAACCGTGCAGTTGGCACCTCCCATTAGGCATAGGTTGCTTCCTGGGAACCTGTCTAAAGTGTTACAGGCCTTGAGCAAAATCCTCCATTTGATCCTTTCAAATCATCAGAATCGAAAGTCTCCTTTTCGGAGGACTTCTTTTTTTCTTGCACAGATGA